GCGCGCGCCGCCGTCCTCCGGGCGGCCGGCGCCCCCTGTCGTGCCGAGCCTCCGGCTCGCTGCGTGTTTCTGGCTCCGTGTGTCCTTTCCTTCTTTACCGCTCTTTTAGGTGTACTTTTTCTCCTTTATCTGCCTCCTACCTCCCCCCTCTGCTTGCCCACCCACCTCTACTGTCTCTTCTCTCTCTGCCTCTCTTTTTTGCCTGCCACCGGGGTCCTCCCTTCATCTTCTCAGCGATTTCAGGATTTATGTGATAGTTTCCTCGGCATAGTTTATAGTCTCAGTATCTCTCGGTGCTGCTCTGCCTTCTGACTGCATGTCTTTTGACATTGCAAATAGCCACTTGCTCTCTTGACTCACAGCGGACAGTCTTTAAAAGATGAGCAGAAACATGCTTGCTTTCTCCATGCTGTGAGAATGGTGGAAGAGCTCAGTCTGACTTCCTGTGTCCTGCCGTGTGAGCGGTGAGGACTTGGAGGTGCGCTGGCGAGTCGCATATACACGCAGGAGGTTTCTACTTGTTGATGTGTGGACAGATGAAAAACCTCTCCCATGTTTATCAGATAACCTCTGATCCACCACGCACAACCAGGCCTTCTTCTGAGGCCATAAAGCTCAGTTTTAGTCCTATTGACTCCACAAAGATTGTCAGCTTTCCAAGGTGCTTCTTTCCAAGGTTAGATCACGTTAGACTTGCTGAACTCAGCTTTTAGACGCTTCTTCCCTTTTTTTTAATGGAAAAAAGATGTTTTAGGATATTTTGAAGCTCATAGTAGTTCCTAGACTTAAACAGGTAACATTGTTGACATCTCTAAAAAGTTTTTATTGAAAGGAACATTTAAAGAATCGTATTAAACGTTATCCATATTATAAAATACAAAGAAATGTATGCATGTAGTTAAAATGTACACATCTGCTACCAAACGTTAGATGAAAGCATTAAGTGAAATAAGTAAGTCACAGTTCACTTAAGCTTACTTTTTTGGCATCTGAAATACCAGGTGCTGAGTCATCTGTGCTGATCCTGAGGAGCAGTCATTTGAAAAAACCTGGACTATTTAATAAACCTGCCCATTTCCCTAGAGATTCTGATTCTGGGTCATGAAAGGCATCTGGAAGCCAGTGCCATGCCACTTACTTTCTTAACATTTCTTCACATGTTTTACTCACCCCTGGCCAGCCCTCAGCCTGTGGTATCTGAGCCCTTTACATCTTTCCTCTGGGCCTCCTTCCTTGGCCACCTCACCATACAGCCCGGCGTCCCCTCCTCTGACCTCAGAGGGACTGCTGGTGGCCTCTCTCTTTTTTCTCCCTGAGCTGCCAGCTTTGGGAGGTACCATAGATGTGCACTGTGTCTCTCTGGTGTGTGCATGGCTTTTATATCTTTGATCCCCGGTAGCTATTTGCAGGCAAAGAATATACTATTTGCTATACCGTTTGCCACCCTGTGTATGCACATCCTCAGAAACGTCGGTTGTCCCTGAGTGGAGACCTGCTGTTCCACCCCGTCAGGTTCTCAGACCTGCAGAAAAGCAGGAAGGAAGTTTGGTGATGGGTCTTTTTTTTGTTTTTTTTTTTGTTTTTTTCTTGACACTGACCGTGATCCCAACTGTGACTCTTACAGCACAAGGCTGCTGTGGTCCAGTAAAGCCAGCATCTTAGACTGAAATAGCATGTGTGCCTTTCTCCTCCCCACCTTTCCCAAATCTGGATTGCTCATTGGTGCAGACTGGCTACTGTGAAAGTACTGTTAAGTGACTTCTTGCTTGCTTGGTTTAGTTGGTGATGTATGCGATGGATATTTGTGTTCCAGAGTTCATTCCGTGCATGGACAAGCTGTTTGATGAATCCATACTAATTGGTTCAGGATATACTGCTCGGGAGACTCTCAGGTATGATACTAAACTTCTGGTATCTGGTCGATTAAATGCAAGGGCCAGTGGATCCTGGCACTTCATGTTGTGAGCGTTTCAGCCAACGTTGGATTTAGAATTCCAGGAATTTTTGGAAACACCTTTAAACGTTGCTTTTTGTGCTTCAGCTTAATTAGAGTAGTTGTCTTGATTTAAATTGTACGTAAAACTATCGGACTAGCTTTAGGTTTTTTTTTCTATGTAATAAATGCATCTTTTTATTTAAAAAGAGTATTTGGTAATCTAAGACAAAAGCAGAGAAAACCTTTTGGTCCTACACAAGAAGATCAGGTAACATGGCTAATAATTTGGACTATTTCCTTCCAGTTTTTATTTCTTATGCATTTTATAAAATGAATGTAGCTGCGACAACATTAATTTTTTCTAAAAGGGAGATTAATCATCCTTTACAATGTAAATGAATCAACAATTAGTAGTTTTTTGGTTCTAGTAAAGGAGGTGTGATGGATCTTCTGAAAAATATGTAGAATATTCTGAATATGGTATCAACTGTTCACTGTGTTTTCTATATGAAATACTATTATAAAATATGACTAAGACGGTCTTTATAACTTGGGGTTGAACCCGTCTGTATGGATATTAGCTCAAAACCCTCCAGTGGTTCCTGTTGCCCTCAGACAAAACCCAGACTTGCCCGCGGCCATGACCCCAGCGGGGTGTGGCTCTGCTCTCCCTGTCTGACCAGCTGTGGCTGCTCGGCCTTGGCCACTCCTTACCTGCCCCAGGCAGTTCCAGGCTTTGACCGTCCTGTTTCCTCCAGCTGGAAATCTCCTTGGCTTTTTGCCTGAGATCCCTTTTTGTTCCTGAGGTCCCAGAGCCGATGTCACTGCAGAAGGGCTTCCCTTGGCCCCCGAGAGCAGGTCCCCTGCCCGTCTTGCTCCTGGTGCCTTTGCCCATCTCTCACAGCACTTAGCAACTTGCATAGTTTATCTCTTTACTCATTCATTTCCCCTCCTGTGAATAAGCTTCCTGAGGACAGGGGCTCTACTTGTGTCACCATGGCCTTCCCGGTGCCTCGCCAAGTGTCAGGTGCGTGGCAGGTGTCCGAACATTTAGTGAGTGAAAGTACTTGATAGCCCAAACGTCACTGGAGCTCTGTTAAATGTCTGGTATATGAGGTATTAATTGACACGTACTGTTTATCTTTGAGCAACAGAACTCATTCAGTGCACTCATAATTGTTTTAACATCAAATTAACTAGATGTGCAAATAATAAACATGACATGCATGAAGGTAACCTTTTTAAATTGGAAAGGAAAGATATAAGCAACAAGATTTGAGCCTTTTAATTTTGTAACTGGGAGGAAGTAACATGGGGGAACCTGGGACCATACAAAGCATGTCCCAGACAGTGGTGGTCCTGGGGCCGGTCGTGGTAGAAAGGGCGGCCTGCAGACGTGGCCTGGGGGGACGGTGAGACCCTAACCAGCAGAGAGGTCTCTGCCCGCAGGCCCCTCGCCTACAGCACGCTGGCCGACCTCGTGCACCACGTCCGTCAGCACCTGCCCCTCAGTGACCTGTCCCTCGCTGTCCAGCTCTTTGCCAAGAACATTGATGACGAGTCCCTGCCCAGCAGCATCCAGACCATGTCCTGCAAGCTGCTGCTGAACCTGGTGGACTGCATCCGCTCCAAGAGCGAGCAGGAGAGCGGCAACGGGAGGGACGTGCTGATGCGGATGCTGGAGGTGCTGCCCCCCGCGCCCTCGTCCCGCTCCCTGCTCAGCTCGTCCCGGTGCTTTACTGGCGAGATTGCCAAACTTGAGCCCAGGTGTTTAGACCACCTGGGTTCAAATCCCCGCTCCCCCATCAACCAGCCAAGGGTCCTTCACCCTGCACTGGTTTGCTTGTCTTCTAAGCAGGGTCATCACAGTGTCTACCTCATAGGGTGCTTGTGAGAGAGAAATAAGATAATGCTCCTGGCAAGTAATCACAAGAGGCCACTGTAGCACAGTGCTAAGTTATCTGTGCACGTCTCTGGGGAGGTACCCAGTGCTGCCTGGATCCAGGAGTAAAGTGTGATTCCCGAGGCCAGTGTGCGATGGTGTGGACCATGGAGCACCCTGGGTCACATCCAGGCCCTGCTCATAGGCCAGTCAGTCAGCTCTGAGCGGATGCTTCACGGGTGAAATGGAGACAGTGAGACTTGCTGAGTGAGTGTGGGGGAAAAGCAAACCAACTTTAGCAGGTGGGTTGTGGAGAGTTGGTTTTCTGTCTTCTGAAATGTTGTTGGCCTGTTGAAGAGGAGTGATTTTTGTCCCCCTCCACTTTCTTTTCCTGACAGGTTTTTGTTCTCAAGTTCCACACCATTGCGCGGTACCAGCTGTCTGCCATTTTTAAGAAGTGCAAGCCCCAGTCGGAACTCGGAGCCGTGGAGGCAGCTCTGCCCGGGGTGC